ATTATTATTATTATTATTATTATCATAAACCATGTAAACAATTGCATGTTTCTGTTGGTGCATAACTTATTTTGTTCTATCAGCCATAGAAGTCTTACCCCAATGGTTGATATCTGCTATGAAGTGCCTTATACACTGTAAGTTTGTCCTTTTGAAATGAACATTGTATTAAAATTTGGAAGTGTAATAGTGTAGATCACATATATAAGCTTTATATCTCTACATGTAGGTATGTATCTCACTGAAGGCAGCTAAAAAGGTTGTTTTAGCCTAAGTTATTATCTGATTGTAATTACATGTATTACCTTAAGGGCCAAATGGTGATTACTCCAATCGAAGCTTTCCGAAGTATGGAGGTTTTGAGCGAGATGTGTTCAAAGCTATCGTGGAGTTCTTTGATGATGAAGATAAACGTCCACTTGTCCCAAGACATTTGCTAAGAGTCTTCCAGAAGACAGTAGGTAAAGAAACTTTGTTGATATGTAAACTCGCCCACCATTGACACACTAAAAGCAGATGATTTATATCCAGGCATAGTCATTCGATAAACCGATAATCAATATCAATCCATAATAATCAATATCAATCGGAGAATGATATCGATTGCTATCAGCAATGGAAGAAAATCAATGAAAAAAAAAGTTGTGAGTTTGATTGTTATCAATAACTGCTGATAGTAATTGATAACGATTGATTCATCAATTGGTATCGATTGTTATCGGAATTATTTTTGTCCTCTAACAAGTTTCACTGATAAAATGATTGACAAAATTTGTCTGTAATGTATTATTGAGTCATTTTAGGTTTATAGCCTACACATCTTTTACAATCATCAACAAAATAAGAAGAACAGAAAGAACTAACAAATCATTTTGGGCTTTACATCTTTCTTCAAAATAACAACTGCCAAACCAAGTTTGATGCCTTTTGCTTAAAGATGGCAGCGATCTGGAGGGCTGCAGTGTCAGTGTGTTTATGAATTTGAGCTAGACTCTGATTTACGGAAAATTGCCAACAAAGATATTAAGGATGGAGTCAATAGCACGACTATGAACAGATATAAATTGTTAATGGTAATTGTTGATTATTTTTATCACTCAATACCATTGTTATTCCTGAAGACAAGAATTACCGATTGTCAGCGATATTTGTCCATCGATAGCAATCAAAAAAAAAATTTTCTGTGAGTTTAATTGTTAGCTATTGCAGATATCAATTGATAGCAATCGGCATTTGATATTGATTGTCTGAATCAACTGATTTCTTTTAGCGATTTTTATCAACCATGCCTGGTTTATATCTACACGACTAATTTACCACCAAGATGTGTCACTACTCTGTCACAGCAACTGACTTCAAGTTTGATTTGTTTCTCAGATCATTTGTTTAAATGCAAGCTGACAGCCATGCGTTCTCTGCAGTACTGCTGTTTATTGATTCCAGTTAAGAACAGAGAACTGCTGCAAATGCTGTTGAAATTTATGGTTAAGCTGATGGACAATCATGTGATATCCTTAAGTGATGAATTACCCACCAAAGAAATGGTAAGAGAATGGTTTATTAATTTTAAGAGGAGGCCTCCAATCATTTAGAGGAGTCTAAAATATATTTTAAATGTCTAAAATACAAAATCCTTTTTGGCATAAGTCTCTTTAGCTCACTTGGCAGTGACGCTCACTCGGTTATTGCTTTATAATACGTTTTGTTTCTGTCCCATTCCGTTCTTGGCTTGCTAATTTTGGCCATGTAACCGTTTCGGGTATTATAACCGTGTTGTTCGCTCATGGTAGATCTGAACACATCGAAATGTTCAAGGATCTCTCCCTTCATTGCTAGAACTAAAAGCTCCACTATGATATTTTCAAGGTTGAGTTTAAAACTTGTGCTTACTTGTCATTCATATATTGATTGATGTGTTACTGTTTGACATTCTTCTTTCTTCATTGTCTGCAGCTTATCCAGTCCTTTAGTCGTGCAATATTTGGTGTTTCTTCGGACATGGATGCAATTAGGCTTGTTTACTTTATGATGGAAACGTTTCCTGAATTTTTCAAGGTAAGATCCAGACATTTTTTGAACAAATTCAAAGACCTTGGTCTCAAGTTATGGTTGCATTTTGTTTAGAGTAATGTTCTGTATACCATAAAGAGGTGAGAATTTAAATTGCGTTGTATTGGATGAATCCATGTTCATTGCGCCTTCGTTTTATAGTTTCGTTTACTTAAAATCTCGACCCCGCCCGTTAGTCTTTTAATAAGTACGTTTTCAATCCATCATGCAGCTGTTTGAGGACAAATGTTCTACAGGTACAAAGGAATAAAGTGTTGTTTATGCTGTTTCGTTAAAACTGAACCTGTCGGATTTGTACAGGTACGACTGTTAAGGGGAACTTACTTGAGCTATTTCCTTCTTGCAAACCGTTTGATTGTTTGTAATGTTATCTATATCGCAGAATCCTGAAGGACTTCAATTTCAAGTTGAACAGCGACTCTTATTCTTGAAGAATTGTCGAGAAAACAAGGTTGGTTATGTTTCTCATTAGAATGTTCATGCTCATCGCTATTATCGTTTTGAATATAATTTTTTGATAATTTTTTTCTTAGTCAGTTATTGTGCCTCCTGAGGGCCCCGTTGTGTCCTTTTGTGAACGGGTCACGCCACAAGAATACAAAGAACAATCTCTAATTACATCACAGCGTTCCTTGAAGGACCTTCTCAACAGAATTGTCGATGATGAGAGTTTAAACGCGAAAGACAAGAAAAAACAACTGAAACAGGTAAGTTTCCATAACATATGCTTTGATGTTTGGTTACAACAACTTGAGCAGAAAATATAGCAACGTGACCTACAAACAGATCTTCATGGTTCTCCGTACTTCATCCTGTACTTCTCCTTTTGGACCCTTTACTTGACTTCTAAGTTGCATTTTATGCGATAGTCGGAAAACACTTCAGTGATATTTTGACTAAACTTTCTCAGCCGCATTTCTAAACAGGCTCGCTAGTGGGGTACAGGGTGGGATGAAAGAAACGGGAAACCCGAAGCGCGGTCTTGCTGATTTTTTTCGTCTAGGCTAAAATGTTGCACCATTCCACTAAACGACTATTCAAAGATTAGAACAAGTCAGAGATGATGTTAGTTTTACTGCTTTTTTACTTTGTTAGTTTGAGAAGTCTTATCCTGATATCTATCAAGCAAAGTTTCCAGGAGACAACTTATCAACCTGTTCACAGAGGTCACAGAGATCAGAGAAACTTAGACAAGTTATGAAGCCGCTGGCTATACTTAAGAACTTGCGATAACAGAACTCTCTTGAAGGACCAAACTTGGTGGTGTCTTATGGCCATTTGCTGGACTTCTTCCTGTTTATTACTTTTAACAAGACCAAGTAATTTGGAGTATCTGTTGTATCCGGTGATCCCTGTGGTACAACCGTTCATTGTTAGTCCCTTCCGAGAAGGGTTTTATTTTTTCCTCGTCGCGCAAAATGAAAAGGCCTAGACTTACATACGAGATTGTTTTATTATATTTTTTATATCATATATAGCATTTTAAAGCTTTCATATTTTAGGAATAATGTTTTAATCAATTGACTGATCGAGATTAACTATTATATATACTATTTCTGAGAGAACTGTCATCAGATCGAAGCCGAGAGATCAATCGTAGCCGGAATGTTTCCTTTTTGTGGGATTTTATACTTTTTTTTTTCAAGTTTTCTTAGCCAAAATTTCAACCTCCCCCTCAGGTCGGGAGTAAGAAAACGGAAAAGAGAGATGAAATCTTGTGTTTATTTGGGTTCTGTAATTAGGACCGTACCTGTAGTACTCATCGTCATAATATATTCATTTATTCGATATCAGTGGAAAACAGAGCTGAAAATGAATCGAGCTACCTGGCGTGTTTTCTCATTAGTTACACTAACGACATTGTTTTTTTCTATTCCAAAACTCATGGGCGGAATGTTTTCTCTATAGCGAGGGAGCACTCTCTTGTCTACAACACATTTTGTTTTTTCTTCAAATTCACCCCTTGCCTAAAAAAGTAACTATGTGTAATTTGTCGTACACTCTAAGAAATTGATAATTCTTCGATCTGCCATATTCAGTAATCTTCTATTTGAATAGGGGATTTTACTGGCTTAGTTTTAAGCGGCCTTTATTGTGTTAATTATCGCAGGATCCAGTTTGTATGCAGTGTGCAATCTTTTCAGCTTGATTCACCCCGGTCAAGTATCCGCCATGAACGTACCCGTTGTACAACTCGTCAGTTGCCTCGCCGGAGAAAAACACGTGTCCGACGGGTTTCTGAAGTTTGACGTAATCATCACTAGATATTCCGATTGGTAGGTTTGCCCATGAGCCGAAGAAAAACTTGTCAAGTCCCCATCTTGGATAGTAAATGTCTATTGGGTCAGGAATGCTTGTACCATACATACTTCTCAGAACTTCCATGATTTCTTGTTTGGTTTGTTCGTTGGTCTGATATTCTAGTCTTATGGACTCTTCTCCCGTGACTGTGATCAAAAGTATATTGGTTCCCTTCGGTAGACGAGAATCTGCTTCTAAATTCTGCATCATAGAATAGTAACCTCTTCTTTTAGAAGCGTAAAGAATATACTCTTCATCATCCCAAAATTTCGAGGGAAACTTTACAAATATCTTGGTATATATAACCATATTTAGCTTGAAAATCGCCTCTAATTTCCAGTTAGGAAGTTCGGGTGTAAACTGGATAAGTCCGCTTTTAAGTACACCGATACTGAAAGTCACAAGAGCGTAATCTGCGGTGTACACGTCACCGTTGTCGGAAGTGACATAAACGCCGTTCGTATTCCACTTGACTTCCTTCACTTTTGTGTTCAACTGTAACCGCGAGTCCCTGGGTTCAAGAAACATGCCCGCCAAACAATTCACAATATGCACGTACCCTCTTGAGTCTGTAACAAAGAGTTGTTCCCCCCCTACTGAGTGAATGGTTCCATTGACGGCTATCTTTGTTCTAAGTGAAACGTATTTAGGTGGGACTGCATATTCAAAGTCGTATTCAAAGTACTCTGTAGCCATTTCTTCCGGATTGGAAGGTAGCCAGTTTGCAATTCGTAGACCTACTCGGGCGGAAATGTCCTCATATTTCAACTTTCTGCGTGTGATTTGCATCTTGTCAATGATGTCTTCATCATGTTTCAGAAGGCTCATCTTTCCTTTTTCAGTTGTTTTAAATCCACTTTCATTTCTAATCACAAATGATCTGTTCTCAAGCTTTCCTTGCAATCCACATTTTAGCGCTAATGTTTCGATGGGATTTCCCTTGACCCCTTGAATCCAGTTTGCTCCAAGTTCAATGGTAGTGTTGTGAAATGTCATTTTTCTCATTCTTCCTCCAATCCTGTCTGTTCCTTCTAAGATAATGAAATCTTTGATTCCCAGGTCACTCAGGGTTTTTGCGGCGGCAATTCCAGATATACCTCCGCCAAGAACCAAAACGGTCGCATTTCTGTGTTTTGCTGTACCATGGTTTAAGATCGTAGCACAGGCCAGGAATGCGAGCAAATTGACTGAGCTAAGGCTTGCCATCTTTACTAACAGACCAAACCAGACAAATGATACTTACCGAACAATGAAAGTGTCGAAATTTGAAAAGATAACGACACCTCGTGATCTGCACGTGGTACGTCGCGAGCTCCTGGGTTAGAGAGGGTTAGAGCGACCGTGAGAGACCTGGGTGATAAAACGTCATCAAAACATGAACTTCATTGCGAAGGTACTTCATTGACAAAGATGAAAAGATATTTTAGCAGAGTAGAACTGCTTAGACATTCAAGGCTGCCGATTTTTGGGACCTAAAATACTGGTTGAAGTTATTTTGATCGTCGACATGCCAGTGGAGGGAACAAACCCTCTCATAAACGCCCGAGATAGGTTATTCCGCGCCCTGTTTTTCAAAATGGCGCTCATGTATGCCCGTTCTTTTCCTCCGCCTGTTCGACTGCTTTTGGAGATGGGAGTGCTCATGAAGGTATTTATATCTATTATATCTAACCCATGGTATTTAAGGGTGTTTTTTAGGTCGTTGTTGTTATCGTAAAGTTGGATATGAACAACTCGGTGGTACACTTAGTGGAGCACACTGAGCTTATTTTAGAAGCAAACCGATTGCGTGATTTTGGCAAAGATGTGAATACGTTTTTTTCTTGAATATCCCGTAAGATACCAGTTAAGTTTTTTATGCGGCTGACGGATTGTTTGTGACCCCCTGCTCAATATTGTTTCAGTGAACAGTATGATCATGGAATACGATTTCGTGTTATCGACAAATACGTAAACTTCATGTATTTTATTTTACAGCTGATGTAGAAAAACCTTATTAGACTACTTCATTTAACGAAAGAAGCATGTTTTGTTTATCATTACCAGCTAAAATAATTATGTTCTACTTAACATTTCAATTTCCTTCAGATATTAAAAACATGTACTTGTATCTTTGTAACACTTTGTGTTCAAGCTACATTACACTAATCACTAGGCTGGTTTGGCTGCAGTCCAGTGAATTAACTTCCACCCTGTGATTAGTGATGGAAATAATTTATTTGCATGCATGTGAAAATCCTTGTCTCTATTAGGAGCTCATATGGATGTTTACGTTGTACTTTGTCTAGGTGTTTATTTATCCCTAAGCCTTGCTTATGTAGAGCTGCAAGCTTTAAAATAAATGAATTCCCAAAGCTGCAAAGATAAAATTAATGTCCATTTGGAAACACTATTCAGTCGTTAGAGGTTTTATTAAAAATTTTGCCTGTCAAGTCTTGTGGGTAAATTTGGAGTTACTGAATGTAAAACAAGAAAGTCCAGATTGGTTCCAGTTCTTGGAATTTTGTTTCTTCATGAGATTTGCTGCAGATGACAGCAACAAACAATTTCTTTTCTGCCATTGAAGAATGGTTTTGAACTTGCATGAAGATCCAAACTTGAAATGATTATCATTTGTGAAGACAATAATTCATTAGCAGTGAGGAATGTTTGACCATAGATGAAAAGAAAAGAAGTGTCTGTTGGTCATTACATAACAAATCTATTATAATTTTATTACAAATGTAGACTGTCACATTGTAATGATGCAATGGAGCACTCCCCTTCTGATAAGCATCGTCTTTCTAATCAGGGCTCCCCCTTGAGTGCCATTTTTTTTGGAGTAAGCAGCCCTATTCTAATATGCACCTCTTCCAAAGAGTGCCTCCATTCAAATCGTTGACATGAAATAAACTGGCTAGGTGAATGAACTGTGAAGTGTGCTTTTCCATCTAAACCATACATTAAACATTACCTATTGACATAGTCCTTGAGTTAAACTATCTGTTGTGTTCCACTTAACAATAAGAATGGTGTTGTCTTATGTTCTAAAAGAAATAAGTGCCCCGTCCCTAATAATTACTCCCTTTCTGATGAGTACCCTTCCTTGAGCACTCAAAGGTCAGCTAGTTCCTGGCACTAAATCAAGTCCTTGTGGTAATTTTGTCTGAATACAGTAACTGTTACTCTTCATCAGTTCACAAAGAACGTTACTTGACATTTTGTTTGTTCTTTCCTTAGGCAATCACTTGTTTTGTGATCCTTGGTTACATACATAATGCTTTTTCAAGAACTCCTATAAACTGTTTGGACCATGTTAAGGACAAGTGGCCAAGAGATGGAGTACTCAGAGTCGTCATATCAAGAAGTACTGCAGCTGTTAGCAGATTATCTGAAAATGATACAACAAGAACAAACTTTACTAGTTCCAACATTACTGACAGTATCCATGTAAATATTAGTCACTTAGGAGTCAATGTTAAGTCAAATGATAATTCATCTTCTGTGGGGAATGTGTATGGTCATTCATCTGATAGTGCACCACAAAAGAATCATCTTCCTGTAAGAGATACGGTGGTACCAAGTGCTTTTGAACTGTTAGCACCAATCAAAGTTGAAGGTAGGCATCAAGAAATTGCTATTTCATTAAGTGTAAGATAATGTATTGGTTAAAATGGGTTGGTCAGGCATTGTGCTCAGTAATCCAGGAATTTAAAGTGCCTATGAAGTAAAACATAATTGTTGCTGATTTGAAAGGCTTTTGAAAGTAGGGAAGAATGGCGTTTTCCTTTTTGCAATATCTTTTTTCGTTTTTAGAGATATTCACGTTTTTGTATTATAAGTGATGACGTCATAGGTGGTTCCACTAAAACAGTTCAACACTCAATCAAGAATATCTCTAGAAATAT